TTTTTTTTTATTTATTCCTTCATGAGGGGAAGAATCTTTTTGTTAGTTTATGGGGACTTAAAATATTAGTAATCAGTTTTTGATGTCATTACTGTATTTTGAAAATTGTTGCTAATTAACAGCTAATTAGTCAGTTAATGACCTTAAGATGTTATAAACTGTCCATCGGTGCTCCTGCTGCTGCTTGAGCACATTGAATTTGCTTGTAATGAATTGTGCTATATAAATAAAATTGGCCGTTGCTTGATTATCTAAGCTAGCATAACCAGTTACAGCACAAAGCTATCAGTTGTACCATTAGCATTTATTGCTTTGATAAACATGTAACGTATTTTTGTTGTTGGAGCAGTTATAGCTTCTCTGTGATGAGAAATATATATCAGTACTTTAAAGATTAAAAAATGTTAGCTAAATTAGTTTTGTCTGATTGGGTATCTCAGCACCAGGATGTCGTTTGGTAATATCAGGAACATGAGAGGACACCTGTGCTACTCACCATGGCCACTTTGGCATTTTGCTATTTCAGTTAGAGTATTGTTGATCGCTTTTTTCATCTTCCTTCAACCGGGAAGTTCACTGACTTCAAAATTTGTTGTTCAAGGAAGTCATTACATCTTCATTAAAAAATAAACCCCAAATAAAATCAATGTATTAGAAGAGTCTCACCTTTTTGTTCTTTTTCAATATGGGAAGAAAAATCAAAAACACATAAAAATCCAAATAAGAGTATTTTTAACTTTTATTTGAATAAAACCTAAAAAAATATTTAAATAGAAATATTCACCAGTCGGTGAGAAATGCATTTGTTGTTTTATGGGTACTAAATGTTGCGTGTCATCCACGGCTGAGGCTCCATTGTCTACCTGCAGACTAATCCTTTGTATTGAGTGTGGATTTGCGGCTGTCTGGAGTGTGCAGCCTTTGGGGAATGTGTGTGTGTGCTGATCCTCTGAGGAGAAGGAAGCAGCGGTTTCACGGCTCAGTGGCTGAGCTGACAACGCTTCCAAACTCACTCTGAGATAAATAAGTTGTTTTACCTGGAAGCACCAGACCACACTCTGCCTGTGCTGCCTTTGTCCTGCAAACGTAATCATCATGAGGAAGTAATAACTAATAAAAACAATCATATATAAAGAATACGTTTGACAGGCTCCTTGTGCTGTGGGAGGAAAAATAAAGAAATATTGTTGTCAAATGCAATAATGTCCTGAAATGAACATGAGGAGTTGATTGTCATTGTGGGTTCAAGCATATAATTGAATCACTGGTTACACCCTTTCTGGTAATTTGGACATTAATAACACATTCAGATGTTCACAGTCTCTTCTTTATGCAGCTGCAACATCCTGCACCACAGTTTGGTGGCGTTAGCTCAGAAGGCCGAGCAGGTTATCGACTCATAATCGATTCATTTACCATTCAAATAACAAAGTGACACAGTTTTAATTTTAGAATTAAAGTGAAGGAGGAGGCAGGACATTTGTCAGGAAGTGGCTTTTCCAGACAAGCGATCCAGGACAGTTGCTCAGTTGCTCTTTATTATTAGTATTAAAAGTAAGAAAAGGCTGCTTAGCTTAAGTAAAAATCACCCAGGAAGTAGTCTGAGTACAGCACCTGTGGTTTGTGTTAGAATGGGTCAGACTGTTGGATCGATTGCTTCCTTTTTATTTAGTCTGCATGAAATTAAGCTTCATGCTTATGAGCATGTGTGAACAAACCACTCTGAATTCTCACTTAGTCTAAAAAACTTAACAAGTTTCACTCATTTTACCAAACATTAAGTACAAGCATCGTCTATATATTTAGGAGCCTTTCAAAACCAATAATCACATCCTTCAAAAACAAAAACATATATGCAGATAAAATGCCCGCCACTTTATGCCGTGCATAACATGTCAGTTTAGCTTGCAGTTTAGATTCTTTTTAAAAAGGAGAACACTAAGGTCGATTAGCTTAGAACTTTGTTTTATATCTTCTCTTTGAACAAGATAGAAATTTAGGAGTAACATGGCCTTACAAACCCAACAGTGAGATCTTAAGAGATCCACAGCCTGCGGCTCTTCAATGGGGTGTCACAGGGTCCCCGGGGAAAACAAATTGTAAATGTAAAATAATAAAATAAATATTCTTCTGTAGCAATAACAAAGTATAACATAAATTATTCTGTAGCAATTACACAAGAATATCCAGTAATGTCCCTGCCTACAATTAAACACATTCACTTACTGAAAATCATCTGCTGTGGCAAATGGGTGCAAACCTTTGACCACAAACTGAGTCTCTGCTCGGTGACATTCGTAGGAGACGCTACCGGTAGACTGCAGCGAGAACTGCCAGCATCTGAGCCAGACTCTGTCTCATCATGGTCACCTAAATGCACAGTAATGGCAGGTTTTGTAATAAGGCAGATCGCGCTAACATAATATGCACTGTTAGTTGATTATTTACCTGCCGCATTACCGTTACCGCTGCTGCTGGGTTGAGATTCACGAGTCCGGAGCGGAATTAAAAACACGACATTCATTTAAGGTCATCGTATGTTTTGTGAGCAAATGCTTTTGTATATTCGTAGCGTTTTCTCCCTTAAATAAAATATCTACTTTGCAAGCATTGCAAGTTGTCCTGTTGTCATCCGTTCTCGTAAAGTAAAACCAAACTTTTGAGCGTTTGAGCCGCCATGTTTCCTGCCAGGTAAATGACGCTCCGCAACGTGGTGACGTCATTTGGGGCGACTGGAATCATTAAGGGAATCGTTTGCAAAACTGGCAAACAATTCCAAGGAATTGAAACAGTGGGAACCAGTTCTCAACAAGAACCGGTTTTCGATACCCATCCCTAATGCTAGCACCGGCTGCCTTCTTTCCTTGCAGCTTGAGGTCCACATACTGGTGTAGAAACATACTGGTGTAGAAACATACTGGTGTAGAATGTGTTGATACAGTCCAGTGGTTATAAGTTGAATCCATTACAGGCCATGTGCATTTTACCTGACTTTCTTGGTTGACTTGTTTTTGGTTTAATGAGCATGTATCTTTATCTAATTGTCTACTCGGCACTAGTTTCTGTGCCACTCTGTAGTGTTTCTTCAAACAGTGGTGACTAACACTGCAGGTATCGTGTTGAAACGTCCCACTTACCTGTAACTAGAAAAACAATTTTATTGTGTGCAACTGGAATTTTTATATCTTTCTTCTTAGAGCAACGCTGTATGTCGTAGCTTTGCAGTACCCGACCAATTTATTGGGGGCTCGATCGCAGTTATGAGCACTTAAAAAAAATGTAAAAAGAAAGATTTCAGTTTCAAATGTGAGGAAGTAGCAGAAGAAACGCACTTCAACCCTGCACCAGGAGCACAACAAACACCTGATCCTAATGTCAGGCACAGTGCCAACAAGTAAATACATGACTGAGTGTAACAGATGTAGTGACGTTTGTTCATGTTTCATGTGTCTTGAAGAAAAAAGACATATCAGATTTTTAAAACACCAAATATTTGTATTGATCTTAAAATCCTGTATTGGTTGAACAACAATCTAACCCATGGCTGATTAACCTAAACAACAGGAAATAAAACTTCTGATGACAAACTGGAGACGTTAGCAGGCCAAGTTGACGCCACAGTCGCTGCTCAGGACTCTTTTCTGCATCTCTGCTGTTAGACTTTTTATTTTGCTCATTCTTCAAAATGTGCCAATAGGCCCTTCTTCTGATCTGTCGCTTTCTTCTTTTTGCAGCTTTCAAGAAAGAGGACAGCAGCTTTGATGAGGTAAGTTGAAAACAAGTCAATTTTCGGGAGCTTGGCCCACTTTCACTGTTACACTGGCCGCGGCTTCTTCATTAAAATGACTCTTCAAGGTCTCGTCGGCCAGATGTTGCCAGCAAGGACTGCGGTTGATTTTTTGGATGTGGGTCCCGTTGTAACTGTGTGCATATGGTGTGTAATATATTCATCTCTGAGTTGTCCCTCGGGGTCAGCTGCCATCACAGAGCTTCTCTGGCCCGCCAAATGAGGCAGCGGCCAGATTCTGTCTATAAGAGCATACACCGGCCTCCGGAGAGCGTCCTGCAAGCATCTTGAGCCCAACACTTAAGTAAAAATAGATCAAATATCATTTTTCTTGTCATTTTATTGGAGATTATATATCGGGACCACGCCTCGAAACACACTCCTTCCGGTTGTCATCTATATCGGTTCCCTCAGTTCTGCAAACTGTTCATTCTCGTGTACGTGCCCCACCCTCCTTCACTCCTATTAGTACACGGGGATCTGCCCGGCCCGGGAGCCGTCACCAGTCCCCTTCGAGGCCTTCCCCAAACCGCAGGTCAATGCATGTCAAACCATCACGTTTTCCTACTAAAACGCTGTTGCGTGAAAAAAAGGTGGTCAAACTGCATTTTTATTTCTTTTTTCAGCAAAAACACAGCAAAATAAATGAACCACTTGATGTTACTGCAGTTGCACACAACATGTACTGATACTGATACTGTATAGACATCTCCACCCTCCTGCCCCGGTCTTGGCGTTGACTTCATATTAAATGCATGAAGAGACGTGTGATATTTAAAGGTGCCAGAGGAGCAGCAGTTTAGTCGTTAAATAACGCTGCACTTATGTGCCTCTGCTGACTGGGACGATTAAATCAAGGCAGTGCGTGTGCAGCAGAGCACTGTGGATGTTATAAATGATCTGGTATATTTTAATTTGCTATAGGATCTTCGTTTGCATGCTAAAAATGTCTGCAGCGTGTGTTTCATGGGAAACCAAGAAACATTCGCTCTTGTTTTCCTTTGAATTTCTGAGCTGAGTTATGAAGTCTGTTTTTCCCACAGATCTAAATTCTATTTGTGGCAGAGGGAGGAGGCTGTGTGTGTCTGTGTGTGTGTGTCTGTGTGTGTGTGCACCCATAATGTGCATTTGGTGCTCAGAAGTTTTATTTTCTGCAAATATTTGCCAATCCGGTGGTTGTTGTTGTGTATCATGCAAAAACTAAAATCAGGAAGAAGGGCAAATATTGTGAACACTGGCACTGGTCAGGCCAGCGTGTCAAACTGGAAAATGTTCTAAAAACTCAAATTCAGACGAGCCCAGATGTTTGTGCCCTGCAGATGAGCTCAGCAGCCGTCCTGTCACATGGAATCAATAAAGGGAACTAACAGCCAACCTCAGCAATGCTAACACAAAGAACCCTGCTTGCTGTCTTATCACTTATTCATTGAGCAACGTCACTGCAGACAATGCACTGGAAATGCTCCAAAGCTTAGAAACCATGTGCCTGGTGAAGGACACAGCTTTAGGTGGCCATCTGCAGCAGGTGCACCGGTGCTCAACAGTCACTGCCACTTTAAGTCAAAAGAGCACCCGAGCAGGATTTCCTCGTCATAGAAACAACATCCCAGAATCCTGAGACCTCCTGACTCCCTCATCAACCAGCTGCTTACAGCAGCAAACTGAAGGAGAAAGTGGGAGAAATCAATATGTTATACAGGCCTGCAAAATAGCTCAAGGCCAGTGTTGCTGGGACAAAACAAATAATCTACAGTGTGAGTTGAATACAACGCCATCCACAGCATAACAGGCATTACCTTCACCTTATTAGTCTCTCTGTGCGTCTTACAAAAGAAAAATGGTGGTGCTGGAGACCCCCATAGTGACCCCGGGGGCAGGTATTGGTATGTTTGGCTGTCTGTGGGCACATTTTGCAGTCACAAGACGAACGCAGGCAAAGTTCAAAGATTAGTGTTGCTGGTGGTGTGATCCCATTGCAACATTGTTTCTAAGATGATATCACTTTAGCTTCTGGGAGGGGAACCAATCTGCAGCAAATATCAGTTACCGAGCAACTGTCACGCTGCAGAGCACTCCTGTGTGTTAGAAGACTTTCATTTACATGCATGAATGATGTCAGTAGATAGTCTGTGGGTTAAATGCTGTGTGTGTTTTAAGCCAGATGGAACAAGATGCAAATTTACAGAAAGAGCCGCTTATATCTCATCAGTGCACAGAATATTCTCCAAAAGTAAATGACCTGTATTTATATAACGCTTTACTCGTCCCTAAGGACGGGGTGGCTGTAGCTCAGGTGGTAGAGCAGGTCATCTACTGATCGGAAGGTTGGTGGTTCGATTCCTGGCTTCCCCTAGTCTGCATGCCAAATATCCTTGGGCAAGATACTAACCCCAAATTGCTCTCCGATGCATCCATCGGAGTATGAATGTGTGTGAATGTCAGTTAGAAAGCACCTAGGAAAAATGTGCTTGTGCGAATGGGTGTGAATGGGTGAATGCACAAGTTGTATAAAGCGCTTTGAGTGCTCAGAAGAGTAGAAAAGCGCTATATAAGAACCAGTCCATTTACCATAAGGACCCCAAAGTGCTTTACACATCCAGTCATCCACACATTCACACACTGGTGATAGCAGCTACATTGTAGCCACAGCCACCCTGGGGCGCACTGACAGAGGCGAGGCTGCCGGACACTGGCGCCACCAGTAGGCAACGGGTGAAGTGTCTTGCCCAAGGACACAACGACTGAGACAAGCCGGGGCTCGAACCGGCAATCTTCCGACCACAAGGCGAACTCCCAACTCTTGAGCCACGATCGCCCTGTCTTGGGAATAATCAAAATGGTTTTTAGGAAATGTGAGACGAGCCTTTTTGGTCAGCAGTAATTTTCTCCCATGATGCCTTTTGTGCCCAGTCAGGGTCTTATCGAACTTTGACCTTAACTGAGGTCAAAGACAACTTAGCTGTTGTTCTGGGTTCTTTTGTGACCTCCTGGATAAGTCGTGGATGCGTTCTTGGTAGAGCGAGCACTCGTCAGACGGTTCACCATCATTTTAAGTTTTCACTATTTGTTGATATTGGCTCTCACTGCGATTCACAAGTTCAGAAATGACTTTCCTGACTTTGTTTCTCAGCTGTTTCTTCAGATTGTGGCGCCATGTGCTGCTTTTTGAAATCTTTTTGTCTGGTCCTGGTTACTGTTGTTGGTGGTGATACGTGAGCCTGGCAGCTGGGAAGCTGCAGCCGAGTTGTGTGTAACAGCAACCGTGAGAAAAGTGTTAAATAAAGATGCTGGAAGGCATGAAACCGTCACCAGGCCTGCTGTGGACTGTCTATATGTAATCCAAAAATGAGTTTGAGCTGAAATATTTAACAGTAACACATATGCTAAAAAGACAGGAAGGGTGAACGTTGCTTTTTTTAGTGTAACAGCTAGTATTCCTTCAAGTTGGGAAAAAAGTCCGACTGAAACCTGCTGTGAAAAAATGTAATCGCACCTCCTGATGTACTGTTGAGTGGTTTCGTTTTCAATTTTGACAAATGTGTGACGGAACAGTCTGAGGGGAAAACAGACGCTGGAGTCAAAGCACAGCCCTTATTTTTAACTAGTGTGCACAGAGGTTTGTCACCTGTGATACCCGCGTTCCAGCAAAAGCTTCAAAAAAGTATCTGAGTGTTCTGGACAGCCCAGAGAATTATTCATTAGTGAGATAACGCACAGATGTGTTCAGGGTGTTGGACATGCTGCAGCTACGGTCTTTCTAAACCTAAACGATAAAACACACGGTCAGCTTTGACTGTTTAGATTAAAAATTCTTTTAATCCGCGGGGGGTTTGTGTTCTAAAAACTCTTAAGTTCCCAAAATATGCCGCTGCTGTTTTTGTAACACGTCACAGTGTCCATGGGAACCTGGACGCAGGGCCTCGGGGGGGGGGAGGCTGGTACGCAAGTCCAAGAGCGGCACTTGATGCAGGCGCAACACGACACGCTAGAAACTCCTTTAGCAACAGTTCAATGAGCATTTTTATTACTTCTTTCTTTAGCAGTTTAGCTTTATTTTGAAACAATGTAGGCAGACAATAAATTCTACTGATGAAGCGTGCATAAGGTTTTATTTTTGTTTCGGGAATAAATTATTTAAAAAAAACAGACAAACATCACATTCGCAGTTGGGAGAGTTTTCCGTTAGAGGCATCTGCAAATTAGTGGAGAATCTACAACCAACAATATTTCAGTCAAATGATTAATTCATCATCCAAATACAAGCTGCTGTGTAATTTTACATGAAGTCTTTAATCACTTCATTGATTATTCCATTTATAATCAGGGCTGGATATTGAGATTCAGTGTTTGATACTTGACACTCGTTGAGTGCTGAGGACTGTGTTTGCATTGTCAAGTAATACAAACTGGCCTCTACTTGCTTTGTCATTAATAGAATAGAATAGGATAGAATAGGATAGAATAGAATAGAATAGAATAGAATAGAATAGCCCTTTACTGTCACTGTACACGTACAACAAAATAGTGTTTTTTGATCTACACATTTGTGGATTTCATTGTAATTTGCTGTTAATAGAATGATAAAGTACCTCCTAAGTACCTTCTTTGAC